AATCTCTAGGATTTGTAACCCTGTGAACAGGGGTTTGGGATTCTAGGAATGAAGATTTCAAGCTGGTACCTGCAGGAAGGGACAGGCAAGAGGCACAGGAAGCAAAGGGACCAGAAACACTTTTTTTTAAGTTGAGGGGCTATAGATTTGGCCTGGGCTGTTGCAAAGAAGTCTGTAGGGCTTGAAGGACTCCAGGAGTTCAGCGTTCAAAGTTCAGGATCATAGAGGTAGGGGTGATGAGATGATGAAGGTATTTCTGTCCATGTACTTGGCCACTTGGGTTCTAGGCAGGTTTGTCCCCTTGTGGCTTCTTTTAKAAGAGGATTCGCCAGGTCTCAGTATCAGGGAGTGCTTAAAGAAGGTTCGTGCAGGCAGTGATGACCCTGTTTTACTGCCCCTGCCCCATRCATTATGGGCATCTCTGCTGGCTTTGTGCCTTCCACAAGTCACCCCCTCCACCCCTGCCTGTTCACCCCAGAGCAGCTGGGACAAGGAGGGGACTCCACCTCGCCTCGCTGGCAGGTAATGTCAGACACACTGAGTGAGGCCCCAGAGAGGCTGTTGCAATAATGTACCCCTTGCCTTTTCCCAGTGTGCATTCCACACATGCATGGTGGAAGTTGGTCTCAGGCACCGTGATCATCTGCTGTGTTTTACATCATGCAGGGGTCCGAAGCACCGAGAGGAAAAGGTAGTTGATGGGATTCACACCGAGGCATTGGCCAAGCCACGGCTGACCCAATTCTGCCCTCCAGCACGGCCAAGATGTTTGGGTACACTGGCAAAAGGGGGGTTGCTTACTCCCACTAGTGTTCAAGAAAAGTGATGGAGGAGACTCCGGGTGATCCCAGCTGGAGGGAAGCCCTGCTTGCAGTGAAGYAGGGCAGACCTTTCGCCTTGCTCCTTCACACTGCAGCAGGCAGATCACGACGGCATTTGCGGCATGGAGTGACCCTGTTCTGGGACAGAAAGGATTTTGCTGTCTTCAGCTTTCTCATCTGCATGCTTGCTCCTTTGCCAGCCTGGRTTTCTCCAGGGTGCTTGACTGTATTGAGCAGCCCCTGGGGAAGCTGTGGAGCTGGCCACTTGCTCCTGCGCTCCTTGCAGGCAAGGAGAGGAGCCGGGATGCTGCAGATCCTACGGAGCTCCTGTTCTGCCGCTGGCTCCTCCCCCGGCTCTGCTGTGGTTGTATCCCCCGTTGCTGGCACCTTGTCAGCCTGGGGCAGCTTTCAGAGACCCCCCTGGGGCTGCCGGCTCCGTGTATGTGTTTTACCTCAGAAGGCTGCAATGAAATCAGGCTGCAAACAGTTTACAGCAGGGTTAGTGTGACCCTGCAAAAGCGCTGCAGTATCTAAATGCTGCGTAGTCTTAGGAGGAGACTAATGCGTGGACTAGAGCCCTGCTAACACAGTTCCTGGAATCAAGCCTCGACTGCATCATTCTCCCRCTGCCATGCCTGGGTAGGTAACTGCAATGGGATCTTGGAAGCGGCCTGGATCTCTGCAGGGCTGCAGTGAGCGTCCCGAGCAGGACAGCACGGCCAGCGCGAGGGGCCGGCAGTGGTGGGACCCGGGATCGGCTCTTCCCAGCCTGGCCTGGCCTGTCTCCCTGCTGGCGGGGAGCCCCTTCCTCAGCTTACTGAATGAGCAGGCTGAATGCTCTGCCTTGTTCCTTATGCTCCATTTGCAGAACTCCCCTGAACAAAGCATGTTTCTGTTCAAGCCCTGTCACCCCACATATGTGCCAGGGCTAGTGCATGCCTTGGATCTCCCTGAGGCCCCTGCTCAGACCCCTTGCTTTCCCCGCCGGCGAGCTCCATCTTTAGAGCCTCAYGCCAGGGAAAGAGCCTCACGCTGCTGCTGGGAAAGATGGGCAGTGTAGAAGGCACTTTTGGGATGGAAAACCTTCAGCATCCTCCCTAGTGGCACAGCAGTGCGAGCAGGAGAGCCTTGCTGCTGCATTGGACAGCGGAGCAAAGCGCGGGGGGATCTGGGAGACCCCTGTAACTGCAGGGCAGGCCTGAGTGGGAGGGCTGGGTGCAGCTCACACAGCCTTTCCCACTGGTTATCTCCCCCTTCCCTGCTCCCATTTCTGCTCCCTTGGATTCGCTCCCTCTCCATGACCTGCTGGGATGCTGCTGCTGCAGCCGCGGGTCRCATGGGGAAGACCTTGGGCTGTTCATGCTGGCAATGGAGCTCCCAGGGCAGAGCCACCCTGCACCTCTCCCTGGTTCCTGGAGACCAGCACCACCCCAGATGCCTTTTCTGGGCGCTGTGTCTCTGCTCTGTGACAGCTCCTGCTGTCAGCTGGCTGCCACAGAAGAGGGATGGCTCAGGGGCCCCACAGGCACGTGCCATCTTTCCYCTTGCTGCCAGACCCCTCGGCAGCGGTCCCTTTTGATGTGCTGTCTGCACATGGCTCTGTGCTCCGCTCATCAAAGGCTGGCTGCTGGGCATGGGAGAAAGGGAAGCGCCTGCCTGCGAGAGGGAAAACCTCTGTTGGAGAGTTGGGCCAGGTCCAGCCCTGCTGATCATGGTGGCAGGAGTCCTACTGGCTTGGGGAGGACTGAGCTTTGGCGAGGTGCAGGGAGGAGAGGAGCATGTGGGGCTCTAGGGGAGCAACCCATGGAGAGGAGCGGGGACTACCCACGTTGGGGAGTCCCTCATGAAGGAGAGGAGGTCTAGATCTGTTCATAGACTTGCCAGCAGACTCGTCACCYGTGGTTCCGGCTTTAATTCTCCTTTTCCTGCAGTGAGTGAAAATGACTCCTCTCTCTGGCAGCGTGACTCCATTTAGCAGTCGGGATCCTGGGATGGGTGAAAGATTTCAGAGGTGTGGTGATATGTGGAGGTATGGTGATATGCCTCTGCTGTGCCGCTCACAAAGCCCCGATAAAATAGGCAAGCAGGCTTTACGTGAGAAGCCTAAATTCAAACAGCTGCTTCTAGACGATCTCTCAGGGACCCCAAGAATAACAGCAGCATCTGCAGGAGCTGTGCTGCTCCTCAGTCCAGGCATGCCAACCTGAGGTCCAGCGTGCTGGGTCTCCACAGTCTGTGTGGAGCTGCCTCTTGTCCTGTCTTTGCTTGTCGGCACAGCAACTAACACATCAAGGAGCCTGGTCCCAGGAACTACAGAGAGAAAAGAGAAGCAAGGGAGCAGGATAATCCAGAAAAAGTTTGGAATGCGGAAGCACTGTTCAGTAGCTGCTGAAATGTAGCCACCTCTGGAGATTTCCTTGCCGACTTTAATTGTACTGGGTTGACAGGGCCCTTCATCTGCACCTAAATAAAGGAGGAAGGGAGAGTWACTGAAGAGAGCAGTAGCAAGTGACAGGGAAGGAAAAAAATGAGACCTTTTTTTTTTTTTGGCTAGGCGTGATGGAGTGAGCCCTGACATCTAGGATTGTGAGGGGCTATTTTCCCTTCCTGGAGATCAGACAGAGCTGTGTTTGCCGGGGGCTCATCCAGTTGGCAGCCGTTAGTATGCACAAGGAGCTCTGTGGAGCTCTTGGCTTCTTGGTCCYAGAGAAGCAGGCAGAAAGAATTACAGCACCTGTTGGGAGACAGTAGTCCTGTCCCCAGCCAGAATCAGGGGCTGCTGGGGTTTTWATCCATCAGCTCCAGGAAGCTCTCGGTACTCAGAGCAGTGTGTCAGGCTCCCGCTGTCCTGTCCCGTATCTGCACCAAGCCAGCTGGCTCTCCAGCCGGGTGCATTCGGGTACCAAGGAGAGATGAGGCAATGAGCAGCATCGTTAGAGCTGTCCTAAGCCCCTGCGAGTGGAGAGGTGGGCTCAGGCAAAGGCAGTGCAGCCTCTGATGTGCTGAGGCATGGACTTCCAGAGGATAAATGGGCTCAGGAGGTAAGACACCCCAGGGAGAAAGGGGTGCCTGATCCCATTCTGCATGCTGTTGGAGAAAGAAAGCAAAGCTCAGTGAATTTTGTGGCACCTGCACGAGTCTGGGGTTCTGGCCTCTTCTCTCAGAACATAGCATTGGAGATCTCCGTGTTGGATGGCACACTTGTTGGATAAAGTTTGTGTTGTCACCTGTATAAGAAAGCAAATAACCTCTTTGTATGCTTCTCCCTTTGGGTTTGATAATGTCAGGTCTCACTGACCAAACAGACATGTGCTGGATCAATATATGAGATTCTGGGCTGTTGCAGAATGTGAGAGACATTTCTTTAAGCAGAATGTTTCACAGGTCTTCATCAAACCCTGCATGGTTTGTGTGGTGAACACACCAGTGCAGTATCTTTGGGCAGTCCTGTTGCAGATGTCCAGCTATCAAAGACCTCAGAGCAGTTATCCTACAAGTCCAGCTTTTCACAGTTGAATCCCAGTGAAACCAATTACATTTGCCACCARCTCTGCCTTGCCTATTGCCCCTCCCTGCTTTTTGCAGATCAGAGGAGTGTTTTTCACTTCGAGTCTGAACATGTTTTAGGATGTTATTCAATATTTGCTTTCTCTCATACCAGAGGTGGCTGCATTTGAGTTATGGAGAAGTGTTTTCCTGTTTCTGTGGTTTATAAAGCACTTTAGAAGCACTTCAAGAGTCCTCTGGGCTGCTGAATGTTGCTGTGAGCATCACCATTGTGAAACAGAGGCCTATGCAGCTGCTGGAGATCTCCCCATTTTCATATGCACCCCAGACCCCTCCTGCTGTCCTGGTAGGACAAACTTGCACGTTGCTGTTGGTAGCAATCCTGGAGGGCCTGAGCACAGCAAGGGGAATGTGGGGCCTTTGGCGCAGAGGGGAAGAGACAGCAACCCCCTCTGTGGGATTGTCATCTCAGGAGAGACCTTGCCCCCCAGCCTGCTGGCTGAGTTTAGGAGTCCATCAGGTTCTGCTGCCTTTTTTTTTTTTTTTTTTT